AGAATGCCGTTCAATATAAATAGGAACCTTGTTACAAACCCTAGGTGCAGACAACAGGTGTATCACAAAGCTTCATTGAAGGTGGATTCAAGCCATTCCATGCGCTCCAGAGTCAAAGGCAACTCATCGTCCGGCGGGCCAACATAACCAACAAAGTTACTAAAAATGAATCCGATTTGTGCGGAAACAAGAATTGCAGGCGCGTGTGAACGTAAATGCGCGGGTAAACCTGCAATGAGGCTCTTCCAGAACGCCGCAGCCATCGGAGCAGATTTCTCCGCAGGGCAGTCCTTCCTGTTGTAAATAGGAACACTCAGATATCGGATGCACCATACATTGAACCCGAGTGGACAGATCTCAGCTTGTTCCCAGTCCACTATGCCGTTAGGTTCATGGAACGAGTCCAAGAATATCTATATACAGTGTGAGACCTCTTCAGATGTGCAATAAAAAGCAACTTACGTTACGAGCATTGAGATCAATATGGATCAAAGCCAGGGGGAGAGCCTTAAGTCCGTTGCATTGCTCAAGCAGGGACCGTATCTTCTTCTTCAGGGGTTCGTACGTGACGTCCTTCAATTCGATTTCCAAAATTCGTCGCAAGCGCGGGACAATGTAATTGTCGACTAGTCCAGCACAGGAAAGAGGGCTGGTGCCAAATACGCAACCTAACAGCAACTGAGCGAGCGAAGATGCTATGCGGCAATTCTCCTCCACAGTGCAATTGCATTCGCACCACATTTTGCCATCGATATACTCAGAAACGTACGCGAATGCAGCCACAGTTGACTTGACAGCAAAGGTTTCGGGAACAACGTTTCCCAGACAGCCACGGGCCAGAGCCACCTTTGTAACATCGATTTCATTATCTTTGAACTGGACAATGACGATGCGACTGTCTTTGAGCTCGACGCGAACAGTCTTGCTGAACATGCCCTGGTTTCTGAGACAGACAGCCCGCGCTGGCAACAGATTAAGTGTCTTCACTATTCTCTCTGCTTCCTTTTCAGCGATTTTGTTTTTGAGCTTTGTGATAGGAGGGGCAGACATGTTGAATAGAAACCTGTGGCAGAAACTGGGAAGCGATTTTCTGGAGTTGGAGCGAGGTATGCTGTTGTTGCGTGGCAAGCGTGGGTCTTCAACAAGCACATGATCTAGCTATTGCATCAATTTGCCATCAAAGTTCCAGATTTGTATCTAATAGATTAGTAATTATGCCCCTTGACCAACTACAGGTTATCCTTCAGCTACACCTCTGGATTGGATAGGTCGGAATAAAAGAAAGGAGATGCTACACTATCCTGCTCAAAAAGAGAAAAAAAAGAAGCAGAAAAGTAATGAAAAGAGAACTGTAACAACCTGTCTGACAGGTGCTTTTTGTGCATATATAGTAACCTGCACCAAGCAAAGGGTCAAGATGAGTATCTAGTGCTGAGGTAAATGTAATAGTCTTGGAGGCTGCCTGAAGGCAATTGTCTTTAGAGGGTTTAATCTCAATCCCATTATAAACAGTGCCTACATCATTATTTGGATCTGAATCACCTTCTTAGCTTACATCATATCTATCAGGAAAATGTCTGATTTCTTGTAAGGACTTGTATATTTTGTAATATATAATATACCTTGTATATATTTTATAGAATAGTTACAAGGATTGTAAAACAGTTATAAGGTAAAAATATGACTTGTATATCTATCTAAAAGTACTATAAGTATAATTCATTATTATATTATAGTAAATGTATTTTAATAGTCTTATATAAAGAGTACATTTATTCTAATAAATATATATAAAGAGTAAAAGTATTATAATAGTATTATATTTGAAGAAAAAGACTTGTATCTACTATATAATATACTGAAAAGACCTTTTCTGTATTTATAATCTGTAAGAAAGTTTTATAAATATTTATAATAAGTAGGAATTCTTTTTTTAAGATTACAAGCTTAATAAAAGTATAAGAGAAGTATATAATGTGTATAAAGCAAGTACAAAGCAAAATCAAAACAATTATAAGATCTTTTTAATTACAAATTTTTTAACTGTCTTATGTAACCTCTAAGGTTACACACATGACTTTAGTTAAGTATATAAAGGGCTATTTGTAGACACTTAGAGATTATCTTTGTACTTGCTCCTGTACTTAGGTTGACCTCTCTAATCCCAGGTCTTTACCTGTTCTGTTCCCTGAGTAAGACTCTAGCCTTACACTTTTTTTTAAACATTGTAAAATTTGGGGATTACCTCTCATCTGCTACCTTTTACTCATGCTACCAGATTGTCAGCCTCCCCCTAGCTTCCCCCCACACATCCACTATCTACTACACATTTACAGTACTCTATAGTAAGACCCTAGTTAATTACAAGCTTTATAAATACTATACTAATATCCTGTTTACTCTTAAGAGCTTATGAGTAGATTGTTATCTGCCTTTACTGTACCACCCTCTCCCAACAGACCCTTGCCAGATTAGTCCCTGGATTCTAGGAGAATGTGTTAAGAAGAGTGTATGTGATTGTGTCAGAAGTTGTATGTATTGTGTGTTATAATGAGTCTGGTCAGCTGTCTACAATTAAGGTTCTACCACTTGAGAATATACTTTTACTGTACTACTTTGAGCAGATTATCTATGTCTGTCTCTACTCATACTTCCCTTACTGTCTCAACCTTAAACCAGAGAATGATTGAACTTGATCTCCTTAATCCTAAGAACAATGCTAGTCCTGAAATCATACAAGGAGAGCACTATCTGGGTACTACTACTAAGATCTAGAGCTACTATACAATTGCTCTACTAGAACACTGTCAAGAAACAAGCTGTAAAGGACCTACTGTCCTAGTCCTGAAATTGTACAAGGAAGTACTATCTTACTACTACTACTAATATCTGAAACTGTAGTGTAATTCTCTTCAGGAGCTGTAAGTTCTATACTGACAGATACTACTTCTATTAGTATAATAAACATTACAATTAAGCTGTCAGATACTTGTTGTACCTACTGTAATGTGTATCTCTCTATTGTTAAGGTGTTTGTTAAGCCTGTCTATTCCTTACTATACTATCTTGTTAACATGTATTACAATCAATAATACAATTACAGATGATACAGTATTAGTAAAATAATTAATACACATACAAACAGAACAGATGCAGAACTATGATACATGTATTGGATACACAATACAAGACATGTATCAGATACACAATAAGTATCAGATATGAGATAATGATACATCAGATATCTAAGACATACAGACAGACAAATAATATAAAAACAAACAACTTATTAACTAAATACATATCATTATCAGGGTCTATACCCTCATTACTTGTGTGATAACCTAAGAATATGCATTCTAACAGGTTATGAGCCTTGCACTCTCTGCTTAACACCTTATATTACTACTACAAGACTACACTATACTACTTTGTATTAATACTACACATCTACTGAGAGGCAAGGTTTTGGTAGGCTTGTTCCCTCTAGTGTTGTTGTAGGCTCTGGTCAAAACTCTCCTCCATTCCAAATAGGAAGGAACTAACTACATGAAGAAAGTGATTATGTAATCCAAAGAATTAATAAAATCAAGAAGATCTGATAGTAACTAAAATCAGAACTCTTCACTACAATAGACTCTCCAAGTACCTGCAATATGTACATATTGAACAGAACTGTAACAAATCCATCTACATCCTCAGAGCAGATGAGCAGGACAAATCCTACTCACTGCAAACCTGCTAATGTCCCTAAACACTTTAGACATAACATTGTACAACTAAAGGACACATCCAGATTCAAAATATGGAAGTATTGGATTAACTCTGCTATTACAGTAACAGGCTATACATACTTGTTCACAAATGAACCAAAGCCTGAAGACATTGAGGTTGTATACACAATTTACACATCAATAATTGATAAAGTAGTGGATCATATAATGGCTAACTTTATACATACTAGAACATCAATTAAAACTCTTATGAGCAGATTAGAAGAATGCTTCAACCCTCATACAGTTATGTGTAAAGTATACAATGAGTCTTTGCTATTTAAATACAGTGATCATGTTAAAAACTTCGGACAAACACTTGATAAGCTAGAGCAGATATATGCACAGCTTGTAGCAGACAATTTAAAACCTACAGACACTACATATTGAGCAGCTATTTATACTGCAACTCCTTCTGAATATAGTAGTACTATTATGGCTATGGAACAAGCCAAGACTATTGTACATGTCTGAAGCTTCTGTGATTGACACAGATTCAAAATTCACTTTCACAAGGCACAGAGGTACATCCACTAATCCTTTACAATCATGGGTGTCAGTCAACATGCTACCTAGTGTGCTACAGACTGCTGTTGTCAACAATCACATTTCTGGCTGGTCATCTGGCAAAAGCTCAAGTGTGATTGTCAATTGACCACAAGTTGAACAGTCATATCTCTCACCTTACACCACAACAATGTTTTCTCCTATAGCCTTCAGGGAACCAACCCCAGACTTTACAAAGTAAATTGATACAGATACTCACATAATGCCCACAAAAAAAAACCCTTGTCTTCCAATGGGCAGGATTATTACACTGTAGTTAACTCAGTATAGTATACTAAAACATGCTATAATGAAGAATAACACACCAGCTTCTGGAAATACAAATTATCTGCACTATGAGATTGTACCATACAAGAGTAGTACTGTTTGTAGTTAGTCACCTGTAAAGTTACTAGAATTCCAACCTGTTTTTTGTGAGTTACTATTATGAGATGATTAGTTCATCAACAGACAAACCACAAGACAATGACTTCATAATGTCTCAGTTAGAATACATACAATATAAGGACGAGAGACACTGAGCAGTCATTTGTCACCTCACCCCTTGTCTATGTGTGCCCCCCTTAAGTTTTCCCTCTCAACAGGTTATGAGCCTTGAGCTCCCTGCATACACACATCCACTGTACACTCTAAACTCTTTACTTGCATACATTTGCACACATTCACATCATGGTTCCCCCATGTACAGATATGTACTGTAAACCAGCCAATGTACCTAAATACTTTGGTCAAAACATCACAATACTTAAGACTGAAGCAAACTATAAGATGTGGCACTACTGTATCATTTCTAGTGTTGTAGCTACATGCTTCAAACACTTACTAAAGGATGAACTGCAGAACACAGCTGAGAGGGAGATAGTTAAGGCCATTCATACATGTATAGTTAATAACATTACTGACACAATATTGGCAAACTATATACACTTCAATACATTTATCCCTCAGTTAATGAAAGCACTTGAAGAATGCTTTAACCCCTAGACAGTATGTAAAAAGGCCATCAACAAATCTGTACTGTTTATTTGTAGAGATCATGTAAAACATTTTAGACATACATTAGACAGACTTGAGGAAGCATACACAACTCTGTCTGCTAACAGTGATCCACCACACAACTCTACATACAAAGTAGCAATATTACTTGCCACTCCTGAACAATATACACACATAGTAAATACAATAATACAATCTACTAATACTCAAAACAAAGGCAAACCAGTTGATAAACATAAGAAAGTCAAACTGAAGCAACTAATCCTTGTATTATAGAATGCCTACTGTTACAGTTCTCCACTCTCATACCTTCAGTTCTGAGGGTTCCACACCCTTCTGTACCAGAACTTGGGACTTCTGTCCCTCAGGAGCACTGTCTATAAACTATATGTGTACTGACTCTTGTCACTACCCTTCCTTACTTCATCATTCCATTCCTTTGACCACCCCTTCATTCTTTGTTCATTCTATAGTCTCTTAC